GATCTCCTCGGCTTTCTCTTTCGGTACTTAAAAATACTTCGCTCTTTTTCCTTCCTTCGGTAATGAAGACATTCCTCGTGCGAGATTTAACGTCACACGCCGACGTAAGACAATTAGAGCCCCTTTTCGCGCAGTTGCTGCTTAATTACTCGTTCCCGTGCCACCTTTGCCCCCCTTCCCCATATCCTGCCCTTCTCAGTATCTTTCTTTCTCTCTCCATCTCGCGAATTAGCACGATGAATTTACCCGCGGCGAATTTGCCGCGAAATCCCTAATAACGCCGGCTTCCAGAATCCTTTATCCTCCTCCTTGCGCGCGCGCGTGCACACGCCTCCATCTCTTCCGCTTCCCACCCTCGTGCTCATCATCGCCTACTTACGTTTTCCGACGGGTGGATGAATCATCCCCCGTCGAGCTCTCCTCCGACCACCGCTTTACCAGCACCGAAAACTTCGTTTGGCCGTTAGCGCTCTTCCGGGAGGGTGTAAGCGTTATTCGCCGGCGTAACTCGATAACTCGATAACTCGCCTCTTATCCGCAAGGTGCCGAGTAAATTTAAGAGGTCGCTTAAAATTCTACGCCTCCTACCATTCGGCGCACCTCTCGCCGATAGATCTCGTCCGATTCGGACCGTTAGTTACTTCGCGCGCCGGCAAGCGGGTGCGGGAACTCTCTTCTTTCCGGTTGTACGCGAATTCACTTCATCCTTTTCCGCCGTGTCTTGCGAAACTAACCGAGATTACCGAGATTTTTCTCCGCGCAATGGCCGCGTTTCGTCACTCCTTTGTTCTTAGCTGCGCGTTCTCGCAGCTAATGAAATGGCAGAATCAGCTATCGGAAATAGGAATTATTATAGGCGATAACAATGACGATGACGAACGTTGTCGTTTAGATCGAGATAAAAGCGTCTTTCGACGGACGTAGCAATTGCGATTTATCAGGGCTGATTAAGAAATCAGCGCGCCACTAAACATCCTCGGTAAAAAGGAAAGTGCGGTCGTGCGAATGTTTCGGGAAAGTGCACCGCACGAAATATCCAGATATTTTCCCTTCGAAAGCCTGCGTTCACCTTAATCCCCGGACGAGAGCAAATTCCCATTTTAGCTGTGCTCACTCTTATATCCGCGACACTCGAACTACATAGAACTACTTCACGAAACTGCTTACACGCCATAATCCGCCGATTGTTTTGCGCAACGTATTCAAGTATTCCGTTCCAACAGTCTCGCTTTCGAGAGAAGCTTCAAAAATGACGCGCTTGCCTGCTGTGTATAGGAGCGAAAGCAAGCGAAACAGCAAGCAAGAAAGACAGAGCGAGCGAGGAAGAGGAAGAGGGACTTAGACAGAGGACGATAGGGGAGAGAGAAATCCTTTCACGAGCGGGCGCGCGCAATGGATTTAGGGTGCGGTAACCTAAACTCAATAACGCGCGAGCGCTCGCGTCTACCGTGCATTAAGGAGCTAACGAGATGTATCGTGGCACTCGGAGATTCGCCAGTGGTAAGCTGTTTTAACGGGAGGGTGCAGTCGAGTAGTCACCTGTCGCGTGACACGCGTAATAGAATAATACACGCAGCGTTGCAGGAGGGAGGGGGGGGGGCCTCCGTCTATAATAATTAGCGTCGCTCTGGATAATCGACGATGCGACTCGAAAACCGTCGTCATTATTATCGCGCGTTTTCTCGGGACAGCAGCAGCTCCCGCCCGAGGAATTCTTTTTTCCGAGGTGAAACTCAACACCTCTCCTCAATTTGTTCGTGCATTAAATCCCGGGTTTTCCATGTTGCACATTCGGTGTGCGCGCTTGTCGATGAGAGGGAAGGCAGTCGAGTGGTGCCGGAGGATGAGTCCTACATTAAACAACGCGGATTTTTTTGTTATTTTGCTATCGAGATTTTATTTGGCCTCACTGCAAATGGAATTTTATTTGAGCGTTCGGAAAAAGCAGCGGCAGCTGCGGCGGCGGCGGCGGCGGCGGCGGCGACGACGGCCGGCGTCACGATTCAGTGAATCAATTTTCCCCTCGTTCCATAGACAATATCGACGAACCATTTGCAGCGTCGATGGTGTACAATTTATTGGAATTAATGCCGGGCGATAACAATCGAAGGGAGTAATCGGATAAAAGAGCCATGCGTGGCATTTGTAGTGTTTTAAGGCCGCCAATTCTCTCTCTCTCTCTCTCTCCCTCTCTCCCTTTGCCCTCCCCTGCACATCCGAATTTGAAGTTGATGGTCTCGCTAATGCGATTTAACGTATTGACGGATATTTATGTGTGCATCGACTTCATTAAGCACCGTTGCGCTAGTAAATTGATAGTTGCGATATGGAACGGTAATAATTCACTCCTCCTCCTCCTCCTCCTCCTCCTCCTCCTCTCCGACGGCTGCCCGAGCGTCGTTAGAATATTTCCCGCTGCAACGGGCTGGAAATGAAAATAAAAATAGGAAAATGGAAAAAATAAAGAACAAAGCACGGAAAGCGAAGTGTGATGGAACACGGCGGAAAAGCAAACTGAAAAAACATACAGCGAATAATACGATGACAGGGGAATTAAAGGATTAGATTAAAGCCGAATGGTGGCGAAATTGCTGCGCCCTACTTCAGATATTAAAAAATTTCTATTATATTTGTTGCATCAATAACACGAAGAAAAAGGAAATGGGAAAACAAAATTTCGTCAACTACTGAGCCGCGCATGATTCATTCTCCGCGCGTGTGTACACGCGGCGACTGACGCGACCGGGTCGCTGTTCGACATGGCGGCCGCGTAATAATTCGCGGAGGAACTGAAAGAAAAAATACGGTCATTGTCACGGAACGCGCGAGTCACCCCACGTAACGATTTCCGCGTCGCGCTCGGGGGACGCTCGAGCGGGTATATAGCGAGAAAGAGAGAGAAACAGAGAGATCGTGACGTCATCGCGGAAATAGAAATTAGGGAGGTCGCGGGACGAATCAGGGGGGGGGCCGTGCGCGAACACGCGCGATGGTCTGTCACCTAAACTACGATCGTCCTTAAATCTTGGCGAGAACGACGCGGCGCTTTTCACATAAAAGTTATTTATTGGAATGCAGTTAAACGTTCTCGTCGTTGAGAGAACGGACGAGAGCGCTTTTGCGGTTGTGTGTGTGTGTGTGTGTGTGTGTGTGTGTGTGTATACTCGTGAATAGATGACGCACGAAAACACGAGAGTAAGCTTTCGAGAGCTGATCTGGAGAAAGAGAAAGAGAAAGAGAGAGAGAGAGAGAGAGAGAGAGAGAGAGAGAGAGAGAGAGAGAGAGAGAGGGAGGGAGGGAGGGAGGGAGGGAGACAGAGAGAGAGAGAGAAAGAGCAATGTGTGGGTTTTCGATTTATTATATCGCCCACGGCGCTTCACCGGGCATTATCATCGATCGACGATGAAAGAGACGAGGCCGCGATTCGCCGCCGGTCCACGATGTCTCTTAAATCGATTTAAGCACATCCAAAACGTCCAACGACCGGTTCGAGTCGTCGGCTGGGGCTGATGGACGTTACCTTCGCGAGTGCGTTGCGTTTTATACGCCATTAAACTCCCCATCGAACGGCACGGGGGAAAAAGATCGATCAAATTAACGCGATAATGGCCGGGCACATTTCGGTTGAAGAGAAAAGAATTTCTGGTTCTTATCAGTTCAATTTGGTTTCAACGACCAGACGTTCCGTTTCCTCCGAACAACGTTCGATCCGTTCACAGCCGGGGTAATTCGTAGGCGACCTTTACTACCGAACGAAATTTGGTTCCAAGAAGCGGAAATTTCCTTTCTTTCAAGCAAACCACATTATGTCGTGTTAATTCGGCCAATTCCTTCTGCCTGCGTGAGCGTCTGAAATTCTCGGATGAACCTCGAGATATTTACAGGTGGTGAGCCTCGAGGAGTCGAAAAGCCGCATGTGGCGGTGAAGTTTACGAGACTCGCGAGCGCGACTCGTAAATATCGCGGATAAAGCTCTCACATTCAACACGCCGGCGCGCATCGGCGAATTATTCGTCGGCGCGGCGCTTCCCGCGCTCCGCCTAAATTCGCGGCGAGTCTCATGAGCTCGCGAGCGAGCACGCGAGTGGCCGGTTTTCGCGGTCACAAACGACGACGCGATTCACCGTACCAATTAATGTTCGCGCTCGTAATTTGATATTCCGGCGCGAGCCAATATTCCGCTGCGAAATAACAACTGGACTGGGTTTCGAAACGCCGCGAACAACAGACTGGATTAATGTCGCGCCGTTCTCGCGGCAATTAATGCAGTTTCGTCGCCGAGCGGCCGCGCCCCCCCCCCCCGCCTCCCCCCGGTGTCTAATAATACGGAAACAATTAGTTAACGCGGCCGCACGATCGCGCGCTCACGCATGCGGCGGATCGGATTTTATATATCGCGCGCGCGCGCGCGAGAGACAGTCGTAAACACTATACGAGTTGAATGCCACGTAAACGACTTGAACATAAACGAAGAACAGAAAGGGTGAAAGAGTGGGAAGGGAGGGAGGGGCGGAGGAGTAAGCGCGCGCCTATGCGTGATGCAGTCGAGATATAGCTGGCGCATTTAATTAATCAACTCGCAGTCGAGTGCACTGCCGAGAAAACGATCGCCGGCTACCTACCTTCGCCTTATTTTTCTGGCGTTTTCCCTCTTACGCGCCACCCCGATTCCTCCCCTCTTTCGTCTTTATTTTTTTTCTATCGAGACTTTTGTTTGGCCGCGAGATTATTCCGCGAGGTAGCGGGCGCGCGGATGCGAGATGCAAATTTCTTCGGGTTGAACTCCGCTCCTAATTATTAATTAATTAGTTCGCATGACGGACTTTTTTAGCTTCGACTCTTGCTTTATATTAGCCACGCCCACACCCCTCTTCGGATCTTACCTTTAGCTTTTATTTCGCGTCGGGTTTTGGATTGGGTTTTGCTCTCGCTTCCTGCGAGCGATCGCTCTTTCCTTTTGGTTTTATTAATCCGCGATTTTTCCTCGTTTTCTGTTTCAGCGGGTTCGGCGAGATTCTTCGCGGTCCATTGTTGCAGCGGCCAGGCTGAAATCCGTGGCTGTCCTGACCCGCGATTGTCGGTGATTTTTCGGTGAGTGAGCAAGAGCACGCTGAATATTTTAGAGTAGCGTTGGTACTCCTGAAACACGCGAGAGATCACAGCCGGGAGGAATATTTTATCTTTTCATTCAGAAATTAACAATCAACAATTCATGCGCTAACTCGCGGAGAGTCGCAACGAAAACCGATAACGACAATTCGGCGCGTGAGTTTTGGCGAACTGAATGGTACCTCGCCCCTATCCCCTTTTTCGATCCCTTTATTTATGAATCTGCGCGACTCTCAGCGTGCATTTATCTTTGATAGCGCCTCGATAACGAACGAAACTCTCGTCGTATGAATTTTTAAGGAGAGGCAGGCGCGTTTTCGCGCAAATAGGCAATGTCAAAACTCGCGTCGACGCGGTACAGTTCTTCACATTTCGCGCGCTCTTTGCACCTTTCACAGGGAGATGCACGTTGAATGTGAAATGGCGTCCCAATGACGAGAAAGAGAGAAATGTTGAGTTTCATTTCGAGACTGTAGCGCTCATAAAAAGTAATTAAAGGGACGGGCGAATGGAAAATCTGCTCGCGCTCGTCCTTGTCTCCTTCGTGATTTTTGTCACTCGTTGTTTTCCGGCGATGGACACGCGGCGGAGAAGCGGATGCAGACGTCGGTTCGTGAAAAGCGGGCGAAACATCTGGCCGCGTCCCCGCGAGAGGAAATCTAATTTCTAAGCTCGCGCGCTAATTCCTTCTTTTGTAACTCAATAAAAATCGACGGCCTACGAATCGAGCCGCCCCCTTGCCCCCTGCCACGCCTCCTCCTCCCCCTTCTCCCGTAGTTCGGCCGGTTTCCCGCGCTGTGTCAGACAGAAGAGAGAAAAAAGAGAATGAAGAAGGGGCGAAGCGAGGAAGCAAACCCCGACGATAACGTTCTCCGGTCTCTTTCCCGCGTTGATTGGAAATGTTTGTCTCCGCGCGCGCGTGCTCCCGAATCGATCTATGATCCAAGGCTCTCCCCGCCGCTCCTTCTCCTCCTCTCATTGCTTTCGCTGCCCTTCTAGCCCCTCACGTGACACGCCACCCGGGATTTTCCCGTAGCGACCGCCTCACTCGCGTTTTCCCGACTCCGAAAAGCTCTTTCCTCTCGAGGAACGCTTCGATCAGTCGTAAGGAAACTCGCCAACTCGCTCCTTCTCTCTCTCTCTCTCCCTCTCCGCCTCTCCCCCCTCTCTCTCTCTCTCTCTCTCTCTTTCCTTTCCTCGGCGCCGAGTTTATTGAGAGTTTCTGTTGAAAGACCAAGTCCGCGGAGTAGGAGAGGGTACGCGAAGGGAGAGAGAGAGGGAGGGAGAGAGTCGAAGAGGCGAAACGGAGGCGGAAAAGAGCAGAAAGATTACGGATGTTTGAACTTATTTGTGTGTGAGGCTCGAGAAAGAGCCCGCGAGCGTGCGACCAATCGAAATGACCGTCGCCGTCGTCGTCGTCATCGCAGTCGTTCTCGTTTCCATTCTCATCGGACGTTGCGCTTTCCACGAGTTCCTCCGCACCTCGAGAGTTTCGCGAGGTATGAATCTTCCCTTGAGCGGCTTCGGAATAACGGCGGGCGCCGGCTATCGCTGATGGCCATTCGGAAAAATTCTTCTCCCATCTGCAAGAAATATGCGAGTCCGGGTGGGAATCGATTTGCTTGGGCTGAGGCGACCGGAAAAAGGGGCTGGAAAACGATGTGTTCGTGTACATTTTCAACCCACCCCTCTCTCGCTCTCCCTCTCTCTCTCTCTCTCTCTCTCTTCCTCCCTTTGTCTCTCTCGCGTGCGCGCGATTCGCATCATTAACAAACCCAAATATTTTCCCGACTGATTCGGCAGACTGATAAAACGCGGATGAGGATCGATGTTGCGTTGCCGTGCGCGATGTGCACACATTGTCTCCGCGCTCGGCGTTTACGCGATCGCGATCTCGCGCACGATCGCCGGCGGCGGGGTGACACTTTCGACGGCGGCGGTGCGGCGAGCGTGGGTTTGCACACTGCGCGATGAAATATTCACACGGTCACACAGGATGGGATTTAGCGCGCGTGGAAAGTAACGCGGCGTGTCCGATTAATTATTATCGGGGTCATTACCGGGCGCAAACGAAAGCGCTGGTAAATCTCAATAGCCGCTGCAGGCGGCGGTGATGTCGCGGCGCGCTGCGCAACGGGGGCAGCAGGGTAATCCCTTCAGCTAATTATCATAACGTCGCTCCCTTCCTTCCCCTCCACTCCCCTCGGCTCTCTTATGAGAAACGTAATGTTTGCACGCTTTTCCATTACGGCGTACGGTGGGTGTATTAACGGCGTCGTTGCTACGTCGGCGTCAGCGTCGTGCCGCGTCGCCGTTACCGTAAAAATACAGCCGGGCGTTTCGGTAATGGCGCGTTACCGTAATAACCGCGCGACGGAAAACGCGTCGCGGTATTATTATGACGGGCGTCGCGTCGCCAGCGAGCCGCGAGCGAGCGTGTGGGATCTTTTCGTGAACTTCCGGGAGCGCAGGAAACTCCGACGACGATCATTGGGAATATCCTCGGGATATTTATTATCGCGAAGATACTTCGCGAGTATCTCGGTTTGCTCGGTTCGCTCGCTCTCATGCTCGCTCGTTATGTCGACACCGTCGTCGCGTCTATTGTACGAATCGTGGCCATCTCCTCGCGGAAGAGTCTCGCGGATCTTTCTCACCGCGAATATTTATGTCGGGGGAAGAGAGGGGGAAAGAGAGATAACAAGGTTTTGCTGAAAAAAAGGTAGAATGTTACACCTGGAAAGAGACCTCTCATATTCGTTGTCGACGTTGGGGTGGGTAATAGCAATACTTTGGGTATGCGATTAAAGCCAAGATTAAAATAAATTAAATTAACTTGAGAAAATTCTCGCATCGAGATGGAAAACATGGGACGGTGATATTTTTCGCTGATATTTGTTTCCTCCGTGGACTCTCGTTCCTCCTCGTCGCGACGAAGTCGCGAGCAGCGCGACGAGGAAAGCACGCTTTCCGCGCGCGAAAGCGATACCATCTGTGTCCTGTCCGCGGCTACAATTGAGGAACAGTAGTCACTCGTTATGCGAGCGTTTGTCATTGCTGTCTTCGGGCGATCATGCTGTCGATATGTTTTTCAATGCATCATGTCCACCGAAGGCCGCACGCGCACTTATTGGCGCGTCATGCGCGGAATAAAACCTTTGTCCCTCTCTCTGTGTTTTATGTGCTTTATGAAATCTCGAGTAAGCGAGCGAGCGAGCGAGCGAGCGAATGGGGTCGTTTATCGTCGTCCTGGGACGGTGAGAGAAAGAGAAAGCGAGAGAGAGAGAGAAAGAGAGAGAGAGAAAAGAGAGCTCTGGGACGAGAAATCAAACATGAATTCACGGCGTCGTAAAGAAGACGCGGCGGTAAAAGGAAACGTTAAAGCGATGCGATATAACGTGAACTTGCGCTCGATCAGTTTTGCAAATTTGCGAAATGAGGATCACCGTGAAAGAAGGAAAGACGAGGAAGAAGGAAGAGGATTTTAGGACACGCGATCATTTTTACTTTTTCTCTTTTCAAACGCAGACTTAAAGCGGCTTGAAAGCGAGCTCTTCCTTCTCTCTCTCTCTCTCTCTCTCCCTCTCTCTCCCTCCCTCCCTCTTTCTATTTCTTATTCTCCCGGAGAGAAACCAGTTTGGAAACGCGCAGCGGATTTCGATCTACTCACCGTAGAGATGACGGAAGCAGAGTCATTTTATAAAGCGTGCTCTAAAGACGCCGGGAAAAATGGAGAGGACAACGACCCAGATTTCCGGGATCCTCTCGGTCGAGCCAAGGTAGAAGACGACGATAACGACGACGTCGTCGTCGTCGTCGTCGTCGTCGTCGGATCGAGAACGGTGCCCGGTCAGAAGGATGCACTACTAGCTTCCAATGCGGAGCTTGAACGTCCGGAGATCTTCGTCGCTCTCTCGGAGTGGAAACGTTGTTTGCAGATGGCGAACGGGGGTCGAGACTCGATAGAGAGCGAGTGACAGAGAGGCAGAGAGAGAGAGAGAGAGAGAGAGAGAGAGAGAGAGAGAGAGAGAAAGAGAGAGAGCCGCAAAAGGGACGACGACGTAGAAAAAAAAATCAATTTGTCTACGCGCGTAACATCCATCGAGAGCGCTTAGCGAAAATTCCGCGAGGCTGTCACCTCCGGCAGAGGGGGAGGGGGGGGGAGACGGAGAATCCCTTTAGCCCCCGTTTTCTGTTCACCCGCGCCAGCGGGTTCCTTAATGGTCCAAGGGGGTTGCCCTTTCTCGCCCTCAGGCCGGCTAATGTCTTTGTCATGTTGACTGTCGACAAATCGCCCTTTGAAGCTTCATCCCCTCGCGTTGCGCCGCACATCTTCCAGCCGCCCTTTCCGCCTGAGGGGGGAGGCGACGTACTCACGTCATTTCTCTTTTGGATCTCGATAGAGCGTCGTCCGAACTTGGATTTTCCGTCGCGCGCACGGCTAAGAAAAAGGGAAGAAGCGCCGCGGGAAAGGATGGCGAAGGCCGCCGCGGGGGTTGGTATCGCGCGCATCCGCTCGCGAGTCTCCCCCACAGCGGAAAGCAGGAAATCAGCAGCGGACGAATGGCTGGGAATCAGATTCTGCCGGGCATTCTCTTTCCTTTTTTCTGCTCTCCCTCTTCTTCCTTCTTTCTCTTTCTCTCTTTCTCCTTTCCGGGGCGGAGTGTTTAAAGCCCGTGAAATGGGCCGCTATCCCCCTCCTCTTTCTCCTCCCCCCTTTACTCTATGGCCCCCCTCGTTCTGGTCTTGCTGGCTCGGCGGATTCCTCGCTCTCTCCCTTTCGCTTTCGGCTTCGGCCGCCGGCTTTGGAACTCCGTCGTATCTAGGGGATGTTTCTCGCTAATGGCTGGCAGTTTCTCCCGAGGCTTGCCTCTTCTTTTTGCGGGGGCAGTTCTCAACGTGCAAGTACATACGTACGTAAGAGCCGTGCACACGCCCGAAAATTTTAATTGCACCGTCGATTAGGATCGCCCTTTATCTCC